TTTCTTTAAGGAATTTGTTCATATCCTCTTTAAGGACCTCTATCATCTTTATAAAGTAATTTTAAAAGTTATTTTCTAGTGCTTCAGCTATATTGGATTGTTCACATCTTGCTGTTGTAGGATAGCTGGACTCTGATGGTGCCATAGTGCCTTTTCTGTTATTGTGTTCTTACACTGGCATTTAGGCATCTGGATTTGGGGTGATTGTAGGCCTAGGTGTTGATTCCTGCATTTGTCTTTGTTGGATGAGTGTTTTATCCCTTGGCTTCTCTTTCCTTTCTGATCTTCTGGCCTAAATGGCCAAGGGTTCTTGTGACTAGGAAGTCTTCAGGTCCAGTAGGGTGTTCCCTCTGGGATTTGGGGGGCTAAGGACCCCTAGATCCAGCCTAACCTCTTGTAAAGCTGAAGTCTTCCTCTGAAGTTGTAGACTAGGGTATGGATCCCAGGGAGGGGGTGCAGAATAGAGTCCCTAGATCTGGTCCGGGTTCTAGGTTTCCTAGAACCAACCTGGGCTCCAGTACCGCTGCCAGCACGGGGGTCCCTATCTCCTGCCTGACCTCTGGTAAAGCAGAGGTCTTCTTTTGAAGTTGTAAGCCTGGGGTCGCTGGATCCCACCTGGCCTCTAATAAAGCAGAAGTCTTCTGAAGTTGTCGACCAGGGTATTGAGTCAGGGTTGCAGAGATTGGGAGGCAGGGGTGTGCAGTCTGGAGTTGCTGGGCAGGCTTTAAAGGGGTTCAAAACACCATTAAAAACAAAACGAAACATTCTGGGTCTGCAAGATAGTTCAGCAGGTAAAGGTGCTTGCTGCCAAGTCTGAGAATCTGAGTTCTGTTAGACCCGAAGTCCGAATCCCTGGTATATCACCATGAGACTGGCTCCGATGCAAAAGCAGAGTCTTTATTGCGAGTTAACTCGGGCATCCTCCATCCATTCGGAGCAGCCGTGAAGGCAGTGGTGGCGGCGGCGGCGGCAGCAGCAGCAGTGGCAGCAGGAGCAGTAGCAGCAGCGGCAACAGCAGCGGCAACAGCAGCGGCAATGGCAGCGGTGGCAGCAGCAGCAGCAGCAGCAGCAGTAGAGCAGGAGAGACCCCGAGTAGCTGTTGTCATTAATGTTGCTTTTTGGTTCTTTGAAATGTCATTAATGTTGCTCTTTGGTTCTCTGTCTTTATCAAGACAGAGTCTTGATAAAAATAGAGAAATCTCTGTGTACGATAAAAACACTGTAATTCGTACCAGGACAGTTATGAATTGATCCAGTTGGCCCACGCTGGCTGATAACTAATAACGTAGCTGAGAATAGCCTTGTTCTCCCAATCGTCCTATGCCACCACACTGACTCCTTGTAGTATATTTCAGCATGTTTCCTTAATCATTTTGTCTGAGTTCGTGCCCAGCTCCTTTCATGTCATCTTGGCAACCCTCTGGACTGCTCTGTGCCTTAATTTCTCAACTCTGAATTGGACCTAAAAGTAGACTCCAGTCTATATAAATTATCACAGTCAGAGGACTTGGGCCAATGGCTTGTGCAGTAAGACAACACAATACAAATGTCACCTGTGGTCGTTATTGTCATTGTGATGGCGTTAATGGAGAGCTTCTGTGCTAGGCTTGCTCAGAAAGAGTAGGGGACACCATTGATTTGGTGGAGCAGAGACTGACTAAGGATAAACTGATAAAGTTTAGGGGTCTGGAGAGATGACTCAGTGGGTTAACTCAGTGGGTTAACTGACTGTTCTTGCGGAGGATCCAGGCTTGATTCCCAGCCCCCACATTAGCTCATAACTATCTGTAACTCCAGTTCTAGAGAATCTGACTCCATCTTCTGACTTCCTTGGGCACTGCAGAGATGTGGTGCACAGAAATACTTGCAGGCAAAGCACCCATATGCATAAACTATCTTTAAAAAGCTAAATCAGTACTAGTTCATCTCAAATAATGAGGCTTGATTTCAGAACCCCAGTCACTTTTGTATAAAGGTCCATTATCCTTGGAAGGAAAAACACTTCCTCACTCCTGACCCTGTAGCCTCCTTAAGTCTTCAATAGTCTGTTTTTTGGTGGGAAATAGAGGCAGCAAGAAGAAAGCTGATCAAGATACTGGAATGAAAACAAAATGCTGAAGCAAAAACAAACAAGGAATTGAAGCTACTTAGAATCCTTTTGTGGATCTGATTTCATTGTCACTATTTCCTAGGCCTCACTCTCTGTTATCTGGTCTGTCTTGACACACTTTTAAAAAGCACTCCCCGCTCTCTCTCCTTCCCTTCCTCCCTCCTTTCTTCCCCCCACCTTCCCCCTCTTCCTTCCCTCCCTCCCCCTCCTCCTCCTCCTCCTTCTCCTCTCTCTCTCTCTCTCTCTCTCTCTCTCTCTTTCTTTCTCTCTCTCTTTTATATCCTGGCCACAGTTTCCCCTCCCTCCTCTTCTCCCAGTCCCACCCTCCCACCCCACCCTCTCTGTTACCCCCCACCCAATCCATTCCTCCTAGGGCAGGTCTTCCAAGTCAAATCAAGTTATAGTAAGACTAAGCACCTCGCCATGTATTAAAACTGGGCAAGGCAACCAAGTATGAGGATGAGGGTCCCAAAAGCCTGTAAAGGAGTCAGAGACAGTCCCTGTTCCCACTGTTAGGAGTCCCACAGAAAACCAAGCTACACAACTGTCACATATATGTAGCATGCCTAGGCCAGTCCTGTGTAGGTTCTCTGGATGTTGGTTTAGTCTCTGTGAGCCCCTATGAGTTCAGGTTAGTTGAGTCCGTGGGCTTTCTTGTAGTGTCCTTGACCTCTCTGGCTCCTTTCTCCCCCTCTTCTGCAGAACTTCCCAAGTTCTACCTAATGTTTGACTTGTGGGGCTCTTTATCTGCACCCATCAGTCGCTGGATGAAGTGTCTCTGGTCTCTGATGAGGACTCTGCTAGGCTCTGGTCCTAGAACCCTCTGCAGGCAGGACAAACTGTAGGTCGAAGGTTTTGTGGCTGAGTTGATGTCCCAATCCCTCCACTTGTGGCCTTGCCCCCCCAGGCAGATTTTTAAAACACACTTCTTCCTGTACCATATCAGGCCTACTGAATCACAGCATTCAAGATGCAGTCTGTATGTGTGTTTTGAAATCACTTTCCAAGTAATGCAGATGATCAACAGGCTTTGAAAAGTCATCTCTGTTGTTTCTCATGTAGTTTCCTAGTAATTCTAGTTTCTCTTCCATTTTGGGAGGTTTCCTGTAGCCCACACTGAATTTGCTACATTGCTGAGAATGACATGAGTTCCTGATCTTCCTGCTTCCACCTCGTCTGTGCTGGGATTACAGGGGTGAGCCATCCCAACTGACTTACTCTTTCGATAATTCAACCAGCATGCTACACCTGTCCCATACTAGGTTCTGGGGAAACAGATGAAAAGAGTGTAATCTTTCTCTTTGAAGGGTTAGCGTGATAAACGACTAAAATGAGAACATTTACAATTCCTAGACATGGTCTAAATACATCTCTTCTAAAGAGCTTTACTTCTGGGCTCCTTAGCACCCAGATAAGACATTGTCAGCCTTGATCAACAAGCCAGACTCTCCCCTCCCTACCTCATTATTCTAGTTGACACCCCCTGTGTATTTTGTGAGTTTTAATTTTGAGACAAAATATACAGGCTAGCCTCTAATTTACAAACCTCCTGCCTCAGCATCCCAAGTGCTGGGATTACAGGCTCATACCACTACATTGTGCTCAGACTTCTTGAAACTCAGTATCCTCAGACCCAGAGAGAATTTGTCCCAAGATAAAATAAAGACCTGAGAATACAACTCAGTGGCAGAGCTTTTGCCTAGCATGATTGGAGACTCTGATTTAATCCCAGTATTGGGGAGGAAATACTCCAAAATTAAATAAAGACAATAGATGGTTTTTATAGGGACTTCCATGTGCCGCCCATTGTTCTATGTACTCACTAATGTAAACCTTTCACATTTCCACAATAATCTATGAGAGAGGCATTACTCTCCCCATTCTGTGATGAGGAAGGAGGCATAGACTTAACTTGCTCAGCTGCATACCAAATAGAATTAACGTTAAAAAAAAAGTTTGCACGTTGGGTACACTTATGTGTGGTGCTACCAGGGGCCAGAAGAGGGCGTTAGATCCTCGGAGCTAGAGTTAGAGGCAATTGTGAACTGCCTGACATGGGTGCAGGGAACTGAACTCCAGCCCTGTGCAAGAGCAGCAAAGTCATCTTTCCAGCTCCTTTTTCATTTCATTTTATTTTTTCGAGACAGGGTTTCTTTGTGTAACAGCCCTAACTGTCCTGGAACTCACTCTGTAGATCAGATTGGCCTCAAACTCAGAGATCCTCCTGCCTCTGCTTCCCAAGTGCTTTGATTAAAGGCGTGTACCACTACCTCCAGGTTTCTCCAGTTCTTTTAAACCTTATCGGACAGTTCTGAAAATAGAGCGCCGTAATTCCCAGGCCTAAGTACTTTTCTGGCATTCAGTGTGCTTGTTTCCCCACTCAGATTCAAGCAGGAGATCAAAGATGGGGTATTGTATCACCTATAGGATAGTGTAAATTGTAGGTGCTTAGTAGGTGCTCAGCAAATGCATAGTGAAAAGGCTCGCAGACTGCGGAATGGATCGGGATACTCTACTGCACAGAGTATTGGGGGTTGAATCCAGGGCCTCACACGTGCTATGGCAAACGTTCTATCACTAAAAAGCCAGAGAGATACTACATTCACAGCTCCATGATGATTTAAACCGACCAACAAATAAGCGCAACACAACACCCTTCCCTTCCCTGCCCAAAGTAGGACCCTCCATCCCTCTCCCTTCCTTGGCCCAGCATCCACTTCTGCGTTCTGTCCTCCCAGCCAGCAGGTGCCCCTAGACCCCCGGCTCCTCCTCCTCCGCCGTCACAGCCTCGTCTCCCCCTCCCTCTACTGCTTCCTGTCGCCGCGATCCGGGCCCTGGGCTGTGGGCGCCCGGGCGCCCGAGGCTTCCCGGTGCGCTCGGCCAGGTAACAGAGCTCGCCGGTGGGATGGGCACCGGCTTGCCCTTAGCGCAGGCGGGGAAGAAGGCGGGCGGGCAGCCAGGTGCGCTCGGGCTCTTCTGCCCCGGGGCGCCGCCTCTCTGCGCCAAGCTCTGGGCACCCGGCTGGATGCCTAGATAACGGTCCAAATTGGGGCGATCTGGGCTGGACGCCGGGCGTGGCCGAGGCCTTCGGGCACGTCCCTCCTCGGGATGCGATCTTGCTGCTGGCTCGGAGCCCCCGGCTGCAGCTTGACCGAGGCCTGGAGCCAGGCGCCCGCCCAGCGCCGCTGTCCTCTGGGATGGGGAAGCCTGGGCACCGAGCTGTGAGGGCCTGGGAACCTCCCAGACCCACACCAGACTCGAAGGCTCAAGGTCACAGAGCTGCGTCTGCCGTTTACAAATGCCTGCTTTTAACTGGAGTGTTTGTAAATGGGCTACTGTTTCCTCTCTTGGGCCAGGGAATTAGGATTCAGAGAAGAGGACTCTAAAAATACTAATCGCCGAGTCCCAATCAGCTGATCCGCCTTACTGGCCAGTGACCCTGGCCTTTCAAAGGAAGTAAGAGGGACAGCGCTTTTCACTCGGGTACTTTGTATGTCTGGCCCTTACTCTGAAGACTGGCCTAGAAGTTTCAGAAAAATGTGTCTTAGAACTGAACTGACCCTTTTTTTTTTTCCTTTCTGCCCTTTTTCTGTTCTCTACTTTTAGTTTAAACTCATTCTTCAGGTTAAAGTGATTTCCCCACTTAAACAGGTTTCTGATGGACACCTACTGTTTTCTTGAAAACTTGCCCTTTGCCCAAGCTCTCTCCGGATAGCATTCCTGGGAGTGGCCCTTGTGTTGAGAGGTGTTGGTCTGCATTTGTCAGAAAAGGGTGAGCGGTTAAGTCATGCAAAGAATTCCCGCAGAGATGAGAGGTGTAGTTGGTAGCTGACGTGTTTGGGATTTCTTTTTTATTTGTACTTTCAATAGAGGAGAAGCTAATGTATATTAACAAGGACATCTTAGTCCTTTTTAGAGTCTACTTTTATACGACTAACGTAACTTAGTGTTGACTATTCTTGTTTAAATGTATCAGCAAAAATTAAAAAATGTAAGTCTTCTGACTTTACCATCTCTATCTATCTATCTATCTATCTATCTATCTATCTATCTATCTATCATCTATCCATCCATCCATCCCTGAATCCTTCATCTGTCATTTTGAGACAAGGTCTTTGTAGCCCTAGCAGGCCTGGAACAGTGTTGATGAGGCTGAGCTCCTACTCTAGGTGATCCTCCTGCCTCTGCTGCCCCAGTGCTCGGATTATAGGCCTTTACCAGCTATGCTGCTTCGCTTTTAACTGAATAATTGCCTTAAGGATATTTTTGTATCTCAACATTTATTTAAAAATCCTTTGCTTCCTTGCTGATAAATGATAGAGTTGGGATATCTTCCAAGAGGTCTGGAGTCTTTGTTTGGCTCTCTATTTACATTTGCCTCAAGTTTTGATCTTGTCTGATAAACCTATGACCCAAATCCAGACCTCAGTCAAATTTAGTTTCAGCTTAACCACATTAAGATGCCTGGTATCATGTGACTTCTAGCAGAAACCAAAGTGGTATTTTGTTTATTTATTTTATTATTTTTTTATGAGAGCTTTGCCACTGTGTGCTGCAGTTCACATGCGAGAACACCACACTACACACACACACACACACACACACACACATGTACACACACGTACACACACACATACACACACACACACACACACACTGGTGGTAGTCCTCTGTCCCCGTTGACCTTGTTTTTTGAGATAGGGTTTCTCCACAGGAATTTATCTTCTCCATCTCTCAACACTGAGGTTACTAGCATGCACTGCCATGCTTGGCTTTTTTTACGTGGGTCTGAGACTCAGGTTCTCATGTTTACCCCCAACTGAACTGTGTTTGCTAGGGAGTAACTAGACACACTCCTTTTGTGTCTGATACTGGGAATTGAACCCAAGGCTTCACACATGAAAGTCAAGTGCTCTACCACTGAGCTGTACTCCTAGTCCTTTCTCGTGCTGTTTTGAGGTATGGCTTCTGTAAATAGCCCAGGCTAGACTTGAACCTGCTGTGTAGACCAAGCTGACTTTCAACTTGACATCTTCCTAACTCAGCTTCCTGAGTAGCTGAGATTACAGGCACACACCACCTTACCTGGTTAGTGCTGGCACTTGTGAAGTGTGACTGCATTATCAGGTACAGGTGCTTTGTCACCTGTGTATCACTATCCAAAGTCAGGGGTCTCTGAAAGGTCCTTATTGACATTGGGTTGTTAGTTAAGTGTGGAGTTAGCTTAGTAATCCAGAGGGCTGTTGCTGATTTCCAGGACACACACAGCTTTTATCAAGTGCTTGACACAGTATTTCAAGGGGACTTGCAGTCATAAATACAGCGGCCACATTTATGCACAAGAGACTTGGATACGTATACGGTAAAGAATTTCAGAAAAGGTCACGCTCTCATGTTATTTTATAATAGCAATTTGGGCATATGCACAAAATTACCCGCTGCTCTTTTCTTAGGGTACATCCTTTGTTTTCCTGGTTTTGGTCTCTTCTGTCATAGGATGGCATTAGGTCTGTGTCTGCAGGTGCTGTGCAGCCTGGGTGGCTGGCTCTCACTCTATACATCTTTCTGCCGCCTGAATAAGCACCGAAGCTATGAGTGGAGCTGCCGGCTGGTGACCTTCACCCATGGAGTCCTCTCTATAGGCCTGTCTGCTTATATTGGCTTCATTGATGGCCCTTGGCCTTTTACCCACCCAGGTAGGTAGAGGGGACATTAGAGATCTTTTTCCTTAGGAATTTATGATTTGGGGCACTTGAAAAAATAATTTTTGAATAATATTAAAGAATAATTTCCATTCTAATGATTTGTATTGCAGTCCTCATAGTTAATTTTGATACTGTGTATGTCTAGCTTCTGCTTTTCATGACTCTTTTGTGCTATTAGGGTTCTTTTCTTGCCTTTTTGTGGTACTGGGGAATCATCGAATCTAGAGCTATGAGTGTGTCCCCACTCTCTTCTATTTTCTCTTACATATATATAAAGAGGGTCTCACTAAATTGACCAGGCTGACCTGACTACTCACCTGGTAGTCAAAACTGGCCTTGAATTTATGATCCTTCTGCTTCAGCCTGCCAAAGTAGCTGGGACTGTGGGCTCTTGTGACTTTGTTGTTGATTTTCTTTGAGGCAAGTTCTTGTTTTATAGTCCAAGCTGGCCTCGAATTCCTAATCTTTCTATCAAACTGAAATGAAATAAATTCTTCAGTTTTGTGTTTCATTTTAAGCTTCTTAATGATTTTAAATATGTCACATGAACACTCTGGGAGTTCTCTCTGGAGTCTGCTTTCAGGATGGGTTTGAACTATCAGTGTTCAATAACCCAGTCCTCTAGGTTAATCTATGTGTCTGAGTTAATCCCAGCACTCAGAAGCAGAGGCAGGTAGATCTCTGTGAATTTGAGGCCAGCCTGGACTACCGACTGAGTTCCAGGACAGTTAAGACCACACTGTTAAGGTCTCAAAAAAAAAAAAATCTGGTAGATATGACAGAGTGACCCAAGAATCTGGGAACAAGAGTCTGGTTAAAAGGGAGGAAGATAGAACATTCATGGAAACAACAAAATAACTTATGTTCTTCCACAGGAAGAACACTGTGGTTGAACAGTCAAATCACTCACTGAAGTCTTTGAGGTTTATTACTATTTTAGTATTTTTCCTGATATTGTTTTGGGACAGGCTTGCCTTGAGTTTACTCTCCGGCCCTTGTCTGTGACCCACACCTTTGGAGGATGAACCAGGTAGAGCGGTAGAAGTCCAGGCCAGACTTAGCTACCGAGGATGTACTAGGAAGACCCTGTCTCAGAAAGCAAAAGCAAAAAAGCAAAACAAGAAAGACCACAGTTTTAAACTTAAGGTTTATTCATTTGTCTTTTGAGACAGGCTTTCATGTAACCCAGGCTGGCCCTGACTCCCTGTGTAGCCAAGGTTGGCCGTGTCCTGATTTTCCTTCTTCCACCATCCAAGTGCTGGGATTGTAAGTAAGGGTAGATTTTAGATTTTTTTGTTATCATTTTTAAAAGCTTTATGCTGGGAAGTGGTGGCGCACACCTTTAATCCCAGCACTTGGGAGGCAGAAGCAGGCAAATCTTTAAGTTTGAGGCCAGCCTGGACTAAAGAGAGAGTTCCAGGACAGCCAGGGCTACATAGAGAAACCCTAACTAAAAAGAAAAAAAAAAGCATGTTTGTGTCTGTCATTGCTTTTGTCCTCTTTAGTGGTTTAGAAAGATTTGAAAGACGAAGAGACAAAGGTTTGAAAGATAGGAGGTCCCTATGTGCGGATGACCCAATTCCCAGCCATGTTGTCTTTTTCTGTCTTGGTTTGTTTCAGGCTCACCGAACACACCTCTCCAAGTTCACATTCTGTGTCTTACCTTGGGCTACTTCATCTTCGACTTGGGCTGGTGCATCTATTTCCAGTCCGAGGGTGCCTTGATGCTGGCTCACCACACACTGAGCATCTTGGGGATCATCATGGCCCTAGCACTTGGGGAGTCGGGCACAGAGGTCAACGCGGTCCTCTTTGGAAGTGAGATCACCAACCCGTTGCTCCAAATTCGCTGGTTTCTCCGTGAAACCGGGTACTACCACAGTTTCACTGGAGATGTGGTAGACTTCCTCTTTGTGGCTCTGTTCACTGGCGTGAGGATTGGTGTAGGCGCCCATCTCCTTTTCTGTGAAATGGTCTCACCCACACCCAAGTGGTTTGTGAAGGTTGGGGGAATAGCAATGTACGCTGTGTCTTGGTGCTTTATGGTTAGTATCTGGCGCTTTGCGTGGAAGAAGAGCATCAAGAAGTACCATGCCTGGAGGAGCAGGAGGAATGAGGAGCGACAGCTAAGACACAATGGGCATCTCAAGGCACACTAGCCAAGGCTTGCTCCCGGTAAATGGGCTGGGTTGGATTGGCCATGGGACTAGAGTCAGAAACAGAACTGAGCTTATAGTGCTTAAGAACTGAGCTTGTAGGGTACTAGGTTTTGAAAAAGGGCTAAATGTATCCATCGCTTTAGTCAGTTCTCAAGCTAACCATATGCAGTGTTGAGACACTCACTCCTACAGTGGTTGCACATCCTCACTGGTGACGGGCAAGTGGCATTATATAGTGTGGACCGTTGTCCCTTGTTTTTGGGCCCCCAATTTCATGGGAGGCCTAATAGATATTCAGACAGCTTTGAAAAGAACTCGAATGAATCAGTGCTGTCTCTTGTTCCTTTGGAAACAATTCCTGAGTTCCATGAGACAGTTTAACTATGTTCGGCCCATGTGCTATAAAGGGAGGGACTCGCAGGAAGGGAGATGCCTTTGACATTCAGGCATCTGTGAATGGGATCTGTTATGTAAAGAGAGACAGAAGGTTGGGAGTGAAACTAGCAATGGCAGACACTTCCCACCGAGCCTCCCTGCACTGACTGTGTCAGAGGTTCCCAAGGACACCCTTGGGTTCCATGATTCATCAAGAAGACTCAGGGCTTAGCATAGAGTCTCACAGCTTTGACTTATGATAATGAAAGGATACAGGGAAGACTCAGCAAAGGGAAAAGGAACCTTTGTCAGAGCCTGTGGGATCTAAGTATGAGTTTCTAAAGTCTCCTATTTGGATATATAGGAGTGATTCATGTCAACACACATGAAAGTCATCAAAGACTTGGTGCCCAGAGCTTTTACTGGCAACAGGTCATGGAGGAACCTTCCTAGCACAAGGCAAAATTCAAGATTCCCCACAGCAGGCATTCAACATAAGCCATATTGCTTCAGAAACAGTTTAGGAGCAGTGAGCCAGTCTTAACAGTTTCTGTTGGGAGACCACTCTAAGCTCAGTTCCTAGGTGCCAGCCAAGGGCCAACATTGCAAGCAGGCCTTTTCAAGGATAGCAGTTCAGGCTTGCTATGTTAACTCTTGTGTGTGCAAAAAACCGTAGAGCTAATGCTTTGGATGCAAGATGAATGAGGTGTGGGTAGATTTAGATTTACTTAGTCCTGTTGTACGGGTTCTGCCCTACCAGGAAAAGTATGCCAGTTCTCAGGGCTTTTGTGAATTAATCTGCTAGGCATGAGAGGCCATGGCTAAATTCCATGGGGATTTACCATGCGGATTCCACTGTACTTGAGATGGAGTTCAGGTTTCAGCTCCTGGTATATACTGCAAACTAGAACCAAAGATTTCAGTGTACGTATTGGCCTCAGAGTGATGAGGTTCCTTCCTTCCTTCCTTCCTTCCTTCCTTCCTTCCTTCCTTCCTTCC